ATTTGTGGGGGATCAGTTCCAGACCCCCTCGCAGAAATGGTGACTTGTATATATTCAAGTCCCATAGGAAATAATGGGGTGCATGGTGGTGCGCAAGTACGTGCTGCCATTGTAACAATAGGTACTTGTCCCTGCCATGAAGAACAAGACTGCAGATTCCAAGTCCATGAAAAGGAGGGACAACTGTAATCACCTCCATAGTCAGCTGTGTGCTTCTGACATTTAATTGTTGATTTTAATGTTATTAATTATATCTTCCATAAAATAGTCTTTAAAATCACTTTTTGCCTGCTTATCAGCCTCAGCAGACGACTAATAGAGTCGTCTTCCAGGCAGGGAAGAGGAGGGGCAGCCGCACGTTCAGCGCCCCTTCCTCTCCCTGAGGTCGCCCCTGGAAGCGCCGGCCATCCGCACGGCTGGCGCTTCCAAGGCAACCTCCCTCCGCAGCGACCGGACGCGCTGCGGAGGATAAGTCAGGGAAAGTGCGCCCTACATTTTTAGGGCGCACTTTCCCTGACTTATGAAAGGAGTGCCAATTTGGCGCTCCTTTCTGGGACGCTGTCGGAGCGCCTCGGTGGGGCTGCCATGGCCCCGCGGCGCTCCGGACCAGGGCGTCCTGGACGCCCTGGTCTGCATCCCCCCTATGTCTCTTTTACGCAGGCTTGTTTTTTTGTTCTCATTTGCACAAAATTTCCAAGAGCTGAAGGAATTCTTCATTAACATTGTTTATTAATAACAATGTTGACCTCTTAAATTTCATGGTACTTTTCTTCACTTCTGGTATACATTCTAGCTGAGCTTCTGTAATTGCAGTTTTAAACATCCACATTAAGGGCCTTTACAGACTGCCAGAAATAGTGCAGCTTGAGGCCACTTTAACTGCCCTGGTTCAGTGCTAAGGAATCATGGGAGCTGTAGTTTATTGTGGCACCAGAGCTCTCTGACAGAGAAGGCTCAATCTCCCAGAAAAAAATACAGTTCCCATGATAAAGCAGACTTAACTCTTTTGAGGGTTTTTTTCAACACACTTTTTATAAATTCTCTCATTCTTTGAGAAGTTTCATCTTCTGATGTCAAATGTGGCCTTATTGTACTTCCTTGGTAATATTCTATTTATAATTTATATAATTTGATTGCATTGTGGTTACTTTCACCTGCTCATTCAGAAACATAGCAGATCATGAGCACCACTTAGTTGTCTTCTCTCTAGTTTGTCACATGACCAATTATCATAGGACACATTCATTTAACTAATTAGCTTCTATTGATAGTTCCATCTAGATCAGACCCACTAACGCCCTGTACAGACTGGCAAAAAGGGCTGGCTTGGCAATGGAGTCAGGGTGTAGCAACTGCACACCAGCTGTCCTGACTCCGTCCCAATGCCGCTGTCATGTCCCGCTCCCCAGTGCATGGCAGGTGGTGGCAGAGCACTCCCTTGGCGCAGCGTACAGACATGTTGCACCAAAGGAGCACAGAAAAGCTGTTGCTGTGGGAACAAGGGTGGCTTTTTGCTGCTCTTTTTGGAGCAGCAAAGTGCTGGAACAGAGCTGCGGCATGCGGTTGCTGTGGCCCCAATCCAGCACTCCCAGGGGCAGCATGGAGCCACCCCTTAGGGGCCATCTGTAGACCCCCTAAGCTGAGTCAACATTTATGTAACTTTAATTGGCTTAATGGATCTACTTTAGTTTGGACTAGGATTCAGGCCAAAGTATCTAGAAATTGTCATCACTAGACCATGATTTTCTATGTAAGTATAAATGACATCATTAACACTTTTTCCTCAGTTCATCTCCCTGTTCTCATTTGCCACATCAAGATAATATTGACATGTGGTGCATATTTTTGTATTTATCTAAACTTTTTTCCAGAAGTGCATTTTAATCATTTTTTTCAAGTTAATATAGCATTTTGTATATATTTTTCAAATATATATATCTTATTTACATTGTCCTTTTACAGTGGGCCCTTGATATCTGCTGGGGTTTGGTTATAGAGCCCATTGTGGATACCAAAATCCATGGATGCTCAAATCCCATAATATACAATGTGGTAGTAAAATGGTGCCATATGTAAAAAGTGCAAAATCAAGGTTTGTTTTTGGAATTTTTTTTAAATCAAGCTATAGATGGTTTATTTATTTATTTATTTATTTGATTTCTATGCCACCTTTCTCCCAGAAAGCGACCCAAGGTGACTCACAAATAAAAATTCTAATGAACATGTTACAAGAAAACAATTTAAAACATCAGCTGAAAACAATATAAAATTACAAACATGAAAACCACTATAAAAACAGAGTACCCACCCCATAAAACAAAGACCCCATATGGAAATCATGCCATGATTACACATTTAAATACCTCCCTGAATAAAATTGTTTTTGCTTGCCAATGCAAGGCAAGCAGGGAGGGGGCAGCCTTGCTTCTTGTGGAAGGTCATTCCAGAGGGCAGGAGCAGCCACTGATGGCAGAACAGAGAAAAAAACCTTCTCCCAAGGTTTATATGGGGAGGTTTATATTCTCTAGCAGGTTTATATGGGGAAATATGGTCTCTCAAATAGTTTGGAGCTAAGTTGTGTAGTAGCAGGGATGAAGTGGCTAAAGTGATTAAGACACTGACTCTGTTGATTGCAAGATTGGCAGG